TCACCTTAAAATTGATCTAAAACGGGCCTCTGGTGAGCACAACAAACACATGATTTGGCAAAACAGGGGTGATTTTTTTTTCTTTGAAAACCTAGTAACCATCATAGAATACAAATGATGATGTTCTGACCTAGATATGACGATCTTTCTACAAGATGCATTAAATTTTTCTCTGATTAATATTCAGTTTCATTCCTTTCATGGCATATTTCTAAGCATTACTCTGAAGTATGGAAAGTCACCATATTTTGTCAGGCCATTTTTTAAACATTTTTACCAGATAAAGTTAGCTTAACAAAACGTTCGTTAACATATAATCTTCGTCTGACTTTGTCATAGCCTGAATAGTTGTTGTATATACCCGTCAGCAAAGGAGCATGACCATACATACATAGATTACACAAACAAATACGAGCTTCAGTGGAAAGTATTGAAGTGACCTCAGATTTTTTCCAGTCTTTTAGAGCTGAATCCATCCACAGTTAGGAGAGCTTGATAACAAAAAGCTCTTGTTGCTTTTTTAAAAAAAGTAACCCAAACAAAGCCCGGCATTGATATGATAGAATTGTTATTACACTTGTATATCAATTAACTGGCCCGCCATTTTGGACTTGGAGAGTGTGGGGACCGGACCAATTTCCATCCAATCCCTCTCCCATTTCGCGGCAATTTTTTTGTTTTTCATCAGTCGTGTTCGAAATTCTAGAAAGCGATCTGTTTCAGGACAATGTTACCATGGCACTTTATTCCTTTGGAGGGGTAAATAACCAGTGCGGTGCCACGTCATGGGCTGTGCAAGAAACAGGAGTGCATGGGCCACATTCTTGTAATGACAGCCACGATGATTATGACTCTATGAGTTGAGTACTTTGCCTCTCTTCTTATTTTTGTGAGATAACTTCGATTTCCTAAATTGGCTTCTGGTTTATTAGGCTCTAAGCAAGCGAATAAGAACAGAGGTTTTCTTCCCGAATTACCATATTATGTAATGGTGTTATGCAGCTAAATCGTACGTAAACAAACTTCTTATTAGGCCTAGACACAAATATCCGCATTTTTTTAAAGATATTTAAAAGGTTCCGAGATATTTACAAAATTTGGGGATATTTGGGCAAATTCATAGCTTTTTGGGCTGTTTTCAAGTTTTTTATCGCTATTTTCTCGACGGAATACTCAGTTTTATCATTCTATGCTAGAAATAATCCAGCGGCTTTCCACTTGAATAACGTATTCCATATCACAAGACACTAGCAGCCATTAATTTGTCAAAATAGCGGGTGCTGGAAACATATATGAGCCTGAACATACTTTTCAGCTCCCGCTGGGGAAAATTTTTGCCTAAGAGATTCAAAATCGGCTTATTTTTAAAACAAAAATAAGAGATATTTCGAGGATTTTTCGAGATATTTTAGACATTTTTTTGAGAATTTCCGGAAAGATATTTAGGCGATTTTACGTGATATTTGTGTCTACGCCTACTTCTTATCCTTCAAAACGTGCTCTTCGAGTAGTATATTTTGCTCCCAGCTATGCTCATACTGTTCCTTTTTTGATGAATGCAAAGACTTTACCTGTAAGTGTAATCTATTTTGATATTTGGAAGGGACTTGCTCCCTCGCCGTTAAGAAACATTTTTACTAGGTCAGATGAAATTCACAGATACAATACAAGGCATGCTACTAAGACAATTATTATCAGAAAGAGGCAAAGTTGGAATTTCAGGCGCTCGCTGGAGCAAAAGTATGGAACCTAATTCCTCCGACTGGAGAGATCTTCTAAATTCATTTTTAAGAGAAAAAGTCGTGGATTTTTATTCGATACTCTTTTGGATAGGGACGACTATGTTGAAGTCGATGTTTAGTTCAAATACAACACCCAAGCCCTTCAAGGTAGATGTAACGTATTGCTGGTTTTCAAAGTCACGCCATTCAATATAGATCAAAATAAAAATCAATACCGTTCAATAGATAAAGTCGAGAACCTAGGAAATGAAAGGAGGTACCTAAACAAAGACCCTCGCCAACATTCAGGTCAGAGGAATATTTCGTATCCGAGATATCCAAAGAAATGTTTTATCCAAAATCATAAAGATTTGTTTGGAGACGCCATGCTGGTGCTCACCTGGATGAGCTCCAACATGGCGGACGGAAACCAACAGAAACATCTGTTACCGAGTTTTGCTACAAAAGCGAGAATTTATTCTTCGAGAAACTCACAAAAAAATTAAAGTGATACTTTTTCTAATACATGAACTGTTTAGATAGCAAACAAAATTTCCTGAAATAAGTCATTTTTTAACCTACACAACAGCTCTCTTGGCCGTCATGTAAATGCCGCGTCACGCAAATGCTTAGAAATTCAAGCGTACTCTATCACAAAACCAAGAACCCTTTTGAAGCGAAAATTTGTATGAAAATTACTTTTCAGCTGCTCAAATGCATCGTGAAAGTAAAATCTCGGTAGGATCCAAATTTTTTTATTTTGAATTTTAGTTACGTAATGTGAAAACCAGTGATTTAATAGATTTTAACTATTTTTAGCAAATAATTACGCAGTGTAGGGTATCTAATTATAGTTCCCTTCGTAAAATTATTATTACATCCAGGTTTTACATTTTCTTTCTTGTCCTTTTCACATCCCGCCTCGATTAGCTTAAGCTAACGGCGAGTTGGGTGAAAATTTTCCTTTTTAGTTCACTTTTATTTATTAAGTCAGCCTGCAGCAGCGATGAATCCTCTTGACTAATCATTGTTTTAAAAATATTTCGGTCATCGGCAAAGGCGGAGACTTGACTTGATTTCATAACGTCAGGCAGCTAATAAAAGAAACAGCATAGGACCTAAAATAGACCCTGGGGCACTCCTGTGTCAGAGGGAGTGCCTCCGATGACGCTCCCAGTGTCGCTACCTTCTGAAAACGGTTGTGAAGGTAGGAATTAAACGAAGTCAGTAAGTTCCCGCCTAAACCGTACTGATGCAGCTTCGTAAGTTTTTTCTAACGGATGGCTTTATCGAAGGCCTTACACACATCTAAATAGATAATGTCCACCTGACCTCCCCCCCCCCCCCCCGTCCCCCTCCCATGTCCAGTTCTACAGTCAATGCCCAATAAAGTCAAACACCTCGATCAGTTGCGTAACGCACGAACACCTTGCCATGACTGAAACTGTGTTGGCAGCTGCTGACCAACCTATATACTTGATCCTTCAGTAGCATTAAACAAACAGCGCGCCATAATTTTTGAGATGAAGTACAGTGGTGAGATGGGTCTACAGTTTTCGTATTCTTTATTGCCCTTCTTAGGTACAGGAACTTTGTTAGGCAATTTTCAATCTGTCGGGAGGAACCAAGCGATGTATTAAAGAGTTCGCAGAGTGATGGTACAATCTCATGAGCTGTTTCCTTGAGTATCCTGGCCGGTAGTTCGTGTGGGCCAGAAGGTTTGCTCTCATTGAAACTAGTCAGAACAGCTAGAACTTGGTTGATTGACATAAAACAAGGCATTTTAATTCATTCGCATAACAAACGTTACAGAAACACAAACGTATTACAATTTAAGTCTGCTATTCACAAAAAATCACGCACTCAAAATACCACAGATCTCCTTGCCAATGTATAGAATTATGTAACATTTTTCTTTTCAGTCTTTTTACAAACAACAACTGGGACGTTTTGTTTTCATATAAATATAACTGTATATCATATTGTGTATTTTCGCGAAAACATCCTCTGACCCGATAATTAATACATCATGTAAAGAATATTAACACTTAGAATATCTACTTAGCCTACTATTAAACAAAGATTTTCACCACTTTGCAGTCTTCTCTCAAAAATCAAGGAAAATGCATTTGGTGCGCACTTTCTGCAGCTCTACCGCAAAAACGAGTACGGTGACCCCCATTTTTTATTTCATGATTTTAATAAGGACAGTGCTTCCTTTCGGTGCGAGAAAAATTGGCCCAAATCTATGTTCAGTTTTTTGGCAATTTTACTAAATTGTACGGATTGAGCTACCACGTGTCGAATAGCGCGTGTCCAATTTAATTCTACTTTGGAGTGTAAAGTAAAAACAAGGGCGTTAAAAGGCATTTTTCTGGTACGTAAGTGGATAAACAATACATTAAAGTCAAATTCTGTGCGATACGACATGCATCATTGAAAAAATCTTTCCTTTTTGTCTAGTTTTGGGCTGCGCGCGGTTTTTGTTAAATGGTCCAAAATAGCCGTATTTGTCAGCATTGTGACGTCAAAACGAGCACGTTGACCCCCACTTTTTATTACCTTTTTACCATCTTCTTGACTTGTTACATCAGTGTACCAAGTTTCATCTACAATCTATGTTAGGTTCTTTTACTAGGGAATCACCTTAAAGTATCTGAAGGCCAGGCAGCAAAGCAAAATGCAGAAATGGCGGGCTTTTACGTAGACTACGCAATCGATCAGTTATATGTTTCAGCCCGGCTAATAGCTTAGTTGCAATGCTCTAAGCCCATAACCTGTTAAAATCCAACTTGGCGAACGTCTGTGAGCTCCACAAGTGCTTCTTCCTCAACTCAAATTTCTCCGTGCGGCTTTGTTTGCGAACGCGAGGAAAGTTGATGTTAGCGAATTTCAGGTTAAAAATTAGGCTATTTTTTGACTCCGACGCCGTAAACCGATATTCGAATTTTTCTCGCAAGTAAAAGCACAGGTGGCCCAAGCTCGAAATATGACCATCGGCGCTGCTGCATAACGTTCAAAATATAAGGATTTGTATGGGAAAAAAGCAATTGCTTTTGTAGCCTACGAAAGTGAAAGGATTTAAATAAAAATAAGCTAACCTCGTTTAAGTTGTGTGTTTCCTCTTTCCTATGTGGTTTCGTAGCCAATTTATGGTCTTTTAATGGGTTTTATTGGAACCGGTTTGCTCTCTCTATAATCAAAAAGGTTTAAGACAAAGTTCTAAACACCTAGATGAGTTTCCCTTGTACAACTCCTTTGCTTGCTTACTTTTTTCCTAACTTCCTCTTTTGGGCAAATGTTTTTAAGCAACGACTTGGTTCTCACCCTTTTCCACATGTCTCTGAAGGCTCCTTTGAAATGCTTGTCGTGAAATGGATACAAGAATGGGTTCAGTGCAGAGTTCAGGAAACCCAGCGTCAGAAACACCTCAAAGAGTAGGCGAGGAATATATACTTGTTCCGTAAACATGTTTCCAATAAGACTTAATGATACGTAAGGCAACCAGCAGAAGTAAAACAGCATAACAATAAATCCAATGTACCGTGAACCTCGAAAACGTCGCCGCATCTTCTTCTCTTTACTTGCCAGAGTAAGTAGATTAGGTGGAGCATCTTGATCTGTGCAATGAATATTGCTTATGTTAGACGAGTCATTTGCGTTCAGAAATTGGTCCGTTTTTATGGTCCTTTTGATGTGATGAAGAACGATTGCATAGATACGTGACCAGAATACCGCCATAAATATCATTGGAACCAGGAAATTGACGATATTCACTGTGATATTGTACTCTCTTGTCGATAAGAAATAGCAACTGCCATTAGAAATAGCCGGGAAATCTTCTTTCCATCCCATCACAGGAAGACAGGCCCAAATGATGGCATAAATCCAAAGGCAGGCGATTATTAGAACAGCTCTACGAGGTGGCATCAAGGAGTTGTAACGCAAAGGCATCCTCAATACTAAATATCGGTCCACAGTCACAGCACACAAGTTAATAACTGAACTCGGCACAGCGAGTAAATACATTGTGGTGTAAAGATTGCACATGAACTCACCATGTTTCCACCCACTCTCCCTTATATCAGAGTCCAACTTGAATGATATGACGAGTCCCGAAGTCAAAATATCCGATACTGCCAATGATATTATGAAGTAATTTGTTACGCTTGTTCGAAGTCTCTTGTAGAAAATAAAAGCATACACCACAGTGAAGTTGCCAACTAAGGCTGTCATAGTTATGACAGCTTCAGCAACAGCAATGAGCAGATAACGAAAGTGACGCCATTTGTCATCTTGCGGCTCATTTGGAAACAGTGTTGTGTTAGTGGCATTCAATGCATGGTAAGTTCCAATGGAGTCGTTCATTTCTTCCGGAATTATGTCTCTTGTTTTCGTCTAAAATGAAAAGAAAAAAATTATCAATTGGACCTGAAAGAGCCCTGATAAGAAGAGTAATTGTGGAAGGGTGATTAGTTAATTTGCCAGTAAAAAAAAAAAAGCATGGTGGAAAGTGGCGTGACAGAAGACGGGAAAAACACTGCCAGGTCCTGCCACATATGAACGCAACGTCTTTAATAATCGAGTACAAAAAGAATCTGAAATGTAAATACATCAATGCCCTCTACGATGGCCCAGGAGGGTCACAGTCCAGTATTGGTTTTTGACAGTCCAGTTATGGTTTTACACAGTCCAGTTATGGTTTTACACAGTCTAGTTTTAGTTTTTACACAGTCCAGTTTTAATTTTTACAGAGTCCAGTTTTAATTTTTAAACAGTCCAGTTTTATTTTTTTACACAGTCCAGTTCTAATTTTTACACAGTCCAGTTTTGTTTTTTTATGATAAAATCGATACACTGTTTATGACAAAAATCCCGAAAAACATACCCTGGCTGGCTGCACGTCCCCATTAAGCCCTTATAAGGGAGTACCCCCCGGGGGTCTTAGGTCTTCCCTGATCATCTTGATTAGTAGAAGACGCAGTTTCTGCACGACTAGAATTTGAACGTCTCAGTTCCTCTCGCACAACCTGCCTGATGATTGAATCCATCGTCGCAAGGAAATACAAAATAGCTGCCTTGAGATAACACGTGTTACAGTAGAGCGAGGGAGGTCTGGTAACTACACAGAAAATAAAACTGGACTGTATATTGACCGTGTAAAAATAAAACTGGACTGTGTAAAAAAATAAAACTAGACTGTATAAAAATTAAACTGGACTGTATAAATATAAAAACTGGACTGTGTAAAACCATAACTGGACTGTCAAAAACCAATACTGGACTGTGACTCTCCTGGGCCATTGTAGCCCTCCGTACGATTCGCTACTTTCGCGACAGATCACTACTTGGCATACTTTACAGCAGGACGCTCAAGAAGTTGCTGCAACTGAAGAAACTTATTACGCTTAGTCCAGCTATCGATATCTGTAAGAGTACTGAGGAAACGACACAACAGATGAATTTCATGACCGAAAATCCTGACGAAGTGCTAGCGCTAAAAGGAACATCAAACGACAGAGCAAAGCACCGAATTTCTAGAGGCGCGAGGACAAGCCCAAATCTGATACCAGCCGTTGTAAATACTGCAGAGGAACACACAAGAGAGGTCGCTTCGTTTGTCCTGCTTTTGGCAAAACGTGCACGAAATGTGGCGAGCCAAACCATTTCGCAAATGTTTACAAGCGAGGAAAAGGGAACAAATCATTGATAAACCGACTGGATAAGGACAACTCAAGCGATGCCGTTAAATTCATTCACACCTTATCCTTGACCCTACTGAAAACTCGCACGAAATTAACGCTGTTGACACAACTTTCCCTTCTAAATTCGAGACGATCAAGCAGATAAAAGGAGGGAAAGTAATAGTTTTTCAAATCCACACTGGGGCAACATGCAACGTTATCAAGGCAAGCGAGATTATTGGAACCAAATATCAAAAACAGGTCGCGCAAACCACGCAGTTACTAACATTGTTCAACTCGACTACTCTCAATTCTGCAGGCAAGTGCATGATACAAGTGGCAAATCCAAGAATCAAACAGAAACACAAGATAAATTAACTTCATAGTCATAGCAGACCATACTTGCGCAAATCTCATCGGAAGCCAAGCAGCGCAGCAAATGGGACTCGCCGAACTTTACCTTACCTTGACGCATATGCTTTAGGGTATCGTAAAGAAACACTTTAAGACTCTGTGTAAAGCTAGTATAAATGCCCTGTAAAAGAGGAAATTTAAGCGAACGTAAAGTTATTATAAATACGCTTTTAAGAAGAGATCATCTAAGCGAACGAAATATAAATGAAGTTGGACAGGCGTAAAGATCCCATCGAACAACATTACACTTCTTTTACGTGTTAGGCAGATATTTAAATGAGTGGTAGTTTAAGAGAAGTAGGGCTCATAAACGCCCAACCAATTTTCAAATGCTAAATCTTTCTTTTCACATTTCAAACTTCCATGGAAAATTCTCAGATATGTTAACGACAAAAGCTACGAGCATGAATCGCATTCGTTTTAGTGTTGCCCCAAACATGAGGTTTTTTTGCAAGGTTTTCTTTTCACACGTTCACGCAGACTTGTTACTTGTAAGAGACACCTTTTTTTATGCAAGCGTTAAAAAACTAGTCAATCTGGTAAAATGCTATTGACTACTGTTATGGAGGATTCAGGTAACAAACGGAAAGAAATAACGCACAAGAAACTGGTTCCAGTATTGTTTAATGTATTGATTTATTTGCGATTAAAATGAAAGAAATTTTAACACCTAAGTAATATTAACTTTCAACATTTTCTTATAAAAACAGGTACTCTAATATACCAGTGTGAAGAAAGAAATCTGATTAAGTATAATTTAATTTTAAACAGTTCATTTTACATATAAAAACACTAACTCTATCATGCCTTTGTGAGGATATGTATACTTTTTTAAAGGTTTTAATTGAAATACTCCTCTCAAAAAACTTGGAAATTAAGAATGATCTTGAACAAAACTGATAAAGTAAAATTTAACTTAATTTTTGTTGAACAATAAATTCAACATACCAATGCAAAATTGTGTTCTGGAAAAAGGAAAACTGTAAATCTTCCTAATGTAGTGTAATCTGTATTAGAAGCTAAAAGAAACTAATAAAAAAATTTGAAACAATTTCTGATAAAAAACAGTAACATTGATAGGTTCATCACCTAACCCTTTCACTCCCAGAACCATATATTGACAAAATTATAAAAAATTCAAAAAGAAATATTTCATTTTCATTCATACCGTCTTAAAAATTAGAACCACCTTATACGAGTCCATCTTTCACACTGGGAGTTAAACGGTGGAAATAATATTGTTATAAAATCATACAAGCAGTATAAAAGAGCTATGGCAGACTGAGCTAATTCTGTCTCTGTATGGTGAGTTATATGTTAAAAAACATATGTTAAAAACAACATTAATACTCTGGGGATGAGTAAACATTGTTTTTTGTTGCCTTTCTTTGTTTTTACCACCCGATGTGGTTCTGGGCGTGGAAGTAGCCCTTGGAATTAGACTGCATGGAGCCTGTTCTTCTAACAGCAGGACTATCTGTTGCCCATTTTGCGAGTAGTTTTGGCGAAAAAGCTGAATCTCTGGCTTTGAAAGAGACTTGTGGCCCCCACGTCACAATGACAGACACCGCATCCATGCAAAAATGGTGCACAAAGCATAATATACCCAAAGCAAGCATGATGAATTAGCCAAAAAGTATGGTGTCTATTAAAGTTGTCTTTTGCAGCCTGAATATTTAGACGCTTTGAGGATCACCTCTATTGATCCCATGTACAATCTGTTCCTGGGAACTGCAAAATACGTCTTCAAACTCTCGGTAAAAAAGAATTTGTTGAGAAAGAAAGACAGTACTTGATATTTTAGAGCAGAAGATTCATTATTTGGATACCACCAAACATTGCATCAAACCATAGTGGTTACAAAGCATCACGGTGAAAAAATTGGACGTTGATATATTCAATTCCTTGTTTTGCTTAAAAGATCTGCCTCCAGAAAGACACCTAAACTGTTGTCAGAGATTTGTTCTTGCTTGCAAGTGGATATGTTCTCCAATCATGTCCAAGACTGACATTGTCTAAGCTGATCTGCTTTTTGAAAAATTTGGCCAAACGTTTAAACAGTTGTATAGAAAGAAATTTGTCACCCCAAACAGGCACCTTCGCTGTCATTTAAAGGAATGCGTAATTGACTGTGGACCAGTGCATGCATTCTGGTGCTTCTGTTTTAGAAGGATTTAATGGAATTCTGGGTAGTATGCGAGTTAATGGAAGATCTATTAAAGTTAAAATTATTAGCTTCTAGCTGGACGTTATGTTTGGGATGTTACCTTCCCAAATGAATTTCAAGAAAACTTTATGTGTAAAAAGAAATGTTAGTGCTGAAGGATTAATTGTAAAAACTGCTAAAACAATTATCTAACAGTGTCTGCTGCTGGAATATAGGAGATTTTCATTGGCCTGATCTTACCCTCGTTGGTCTACCCAACTCATGAGCTAAGGGTAATTTTTGGATGAAGCAAAACATTGTACCCCAGACAAGAAGTTGAGTTATCTTCGAGTGTTCTTCGCAAGTATTCGATCAGGCTTAGAACTGAGAAGTTCGGGTCAAAGTTGGATCGTCGAAACATGAGGAGTGCGCGTATAATGGCTTGTTGGACTGCTAAGGATAGCTCCATTGATATATCTGCACCCAACCGACCTGGGGTAGGTAATTGTGATGTTATTGACAGTGTGAAGTTCAATGGATAATTCTATCAACGTGTATTTGCTGTTGTCTGATTGTACAAAAATGATCATGAACAAGATCATTTTGGCAATCCTACTCAGGTTTAAAAATGCGATGATTATGTTCACTGTGGACCCTCACTCATTATTCCAGTACAGCGCATAAAGCAAAAATTTGCATGCCGTTTAGTAAAAAATGATGGGAATAGAAGTTAGTAGCTGTTTTCTTTGCGAGTAAAGACTGAAAATTTTGAATCAGTACACTCATACAAGAAGTAAGATGTTATTATGATTTTTGTACTATATTTAACATACAAGGCAGCTCACAGGTATAATAGGTAGCAAAAATTGTTCTATGTTTTCTTTGTGCATGGAGTTACCAGAAGCAAGGGACAAAATTTGGTTTAGTCGCTGGTCGGGCTTGATCTGAAAATGCAGGCATTCATACCTAATATTTAAAGACAATGTTTCCTATGGTTCTGATGAGGAAATTTTTTTAAATAATCAATTAAGACAGTAAGCATAAATTTTTTTAAAAATATATTTTCTTGTGTTATTTTTGACTGAGTAGGCTACTAAATATGATTTGACAAGTTTGTTATCTGA